CTCCTAAATATGCGGTCTTTCAAGGATCCCGTCCCGTTATATCCTCCAGAGGTGGACAAAAGAATGCCAAGAGCAGGCAGTAAGTTTTGCTAGACGTACTTGAGGACCCCTTACGTGTAATCGGGTTATACATTTCGGCCAGGTTGCTATAGATGTAGATAGGAAAGCTCAAATGCACAAATCGTGTGTTGTGAATTGTTTAAAAGTTGTAAGCTGGATATGAAATTATAAATAATCAATGGATGACTTAGTTGAGGAACAAAAAAGAGAGAGAGAGAGAGAGAGAGAGAGAGAGAGAGAACAACCATGAGAGATGATGCAAAAGCAATGAGTTTCACCATTTAGAGAGCTTGACCGAGGACCTGTTCCATTAATCGCCCCTTTAATTCTATGCATGTTCTTGATGTGATCATTAATTTATTTCTTAGCCATGTGAAGAATTGTCCTGTTAAAGCCTTTGTAAAGATGTCCGCAATTTGCTCAGCTGCAGGAAAGTGTTGAACAGTGATCACCTTGCTCTCAACTCTCTCTCTCTTATAAAATGGAAATCCAATTCCAGATGTTTAGTCCTTGAATGATTGACGGGATTGCTTGATAAATATATCATATTTTAACGATCTTCGATTTGACATCCATATTGCATATATAAAAATAAAAATAATTACATCTATTATTATAAATAAAACTAAATTTATTACTGTGATAACTATTATCATATTGCACTTGAAATGATGTAATAATATTTTCAATATAATGTATAGTGTTTACTCCTTAAAAGAGGAGAAAAGGTGCCAAAATATATTAAAGAAAAAATTCTACTTAGGAAAAATAAATGACTTATTATACATAAAAAGAACCAAGAGTTAAGTTTGAATTATCATTTTTATTTTTCCCTTTACATTTTCAGGTAAAAAGAACACAACTACACAACTTGGTATGTGANAAAAAAAAAAAAAAAAATATTCTATTTGGCAAATCATATTTCGTTCTAAACAAGAATAATTCCTTTTTCTACCTTTGATTTTATTGATTTGTATGTTATTATTGAATGAATGTCTCACTTCCTAGAAAATCAAGTTTGCACTTTGAGCAAAGGTGTTTAAGTAAATTTTTTGTGGAGTGCTCTTGTAAAAGCTGTAGTCTGCCATACTGACACAATACAAAATTTGCGTCCTCAACAAATCAAAAATAAAAAAAAAAATGTGATTTTTGTTCAATCTTATCTTCCCTTTTTCCCCATAACATATTACTACATCCCTCAGAGTTGTAGTTCATCTCATCCCAGAAAGCACTCTTCATAATAATTTTTTTTTTTCCTTTTTTCTGTACCAAGCAAAAGGTAATCTCCTTCTTTCTATAAATAAAAAATACACCCTGCTGAGTGGGAGCTGTATGATGAGTTACTCGACGAAGATGTACTTGTCACTGTGATAACTTCGCCATGGAAGATGTATTTTGATGGAGCATCCCATCGAGAAGGGTCGGTGCTGGGATCATATTTGTGACCTCTGGTGGATAAATTTTACCTTACTCATTTACTTTGAGCGAGAATTGCTCAAATAATATTGCTGAGTATTAAGCTCTTATACTTGGGTTGGAGATGACAGTTAATACAAAACAACTGCATTTGAAGGTGTATGATGACTCTAAACTCGTGGTCAGTGACGGATCTAGAAATTTTACTCAGGGGGGCCCTATTTTAAATATTAAATAACGAGCTTGTAGTTTTAGTCGAAACACTCATTTCATATAAGAATGTATTTACTATAAAATTAAATATAGGTATGTGTATCATCAAGTTTTTAAAAACATAGAAACAGTATCACCCTCAAACTTAAAAAAAAAAAAGATTTCATGTATTTACAATTTAAGTTCAACATGATCTGTAATTTATTGTAAAATAAGTTTTTTGGTTAAAATTTTGATTCAAATTGAACTTTTGCACTACGTTGGATATTGTTGATTAGAGCTTAACAAATGAACATTTTTTCAAGAAAAAAAAAATAAAATTAAAAATATGTGATTACACATAAAAAGAGTAAAAAATTAACATTAAAAAATATAATAATACAACTAATAAATACTCAGTTTTATAAATCACTAACTCAATTTACAATTAAGAGTCCGAAAGAGTAATTCATTATCAATATTTTCAAAAACTTATCTATAAATTTAAAATATAAGGATTGTTAGTACATTTTTCAATAAATAATTAGTATTATTAATATAAATAAAAATAGCATAGGAAATAAGTTTTAATTATTAATATATTGAAAATATTTTTTACATTTCTATAGATATTTTATATTATTTTATCTATATATTTATTTTTAATAAGTTTTAATTATTAACATATTGTATATATTTTGCATTTCTATGCTCGTGGTTAATCAATTGCTTGGAGATATGAGGTGAAGAAACCCGAGTTGCTTTCGTATGTGAACTACGCCAAGAGACTTATGAGATGGCTTAGAGATGTGACAATAGATCATGTATCGAGAAAAGCAAGTTGATGCACTCGCAAAACTTCCTTCGACACTCATCTTTCCTAAAAATAAAGTTAATGTTTCTGTTTGTAGGGGTTGGGCAGTACCACCAATCTTTGATGATGACGAACATGAATATAGTCTTGCTTATGTTGTTCAGGTGGCTTTAAAGGTTTCTTGGTACCCTTGTCCGAATCTTTCTCATTTTCTATATTGTTTTTGCTCAACTACGCACCTGGTAGCAACACTACGATGGTTTCAGAGAGAAGAGAGCTCAGGATGAAATCAAATCAACGAAAACCGTAATCAGATAACAACTACACAATCTCACAATATCAAGGCTTTATAAGATAGAACTTTAATTGAAAAACAAATAAGTAATTAAAGAACTCATTACAGCACTACAGATTACCTTTACGGCACTACAACGGCCAGGGAGTGAGTACGACATGGATTTGTACGGAAATCCGACGGCTGCTAATTTTGGAAGAGAAACACGACAGGCAAACCCCGGAGGTGCCTCAAATTACACCAGCAACCGAAGGCCTCAAACCCCGAACAGAGAATGGAAAAACTAAGACAGACAAAAACACTATTAGTCCGATAATTTAATCAATTGTAGAGAAGATAGCCCGACAAACCAAAAAAAAAAAACAAATAAAAAACCCACAAAATACCCAACCTATTACACAGACAACGCTCTGATGTACGGCCGAATGAGGCAGAGAACGATGGTTGCAGAGAGCTCATCTCCTGCACAAGTTAGAATCCCGCAATCAATCTAACAAAATCGAAAGCGAAAATCAAGCAGTTGAGCGTTTTCACAAGGAGTCGTAATTTGAAATTGAAAAGACCCAAACAAACAATATTTCAGAGAAAAATGTACCAATAAATTTAGGAAAGTGACTAAAAATGAGATCACGCGTCAGCACCATATGCACCCTCGCCGCAAATCATCTCTTAAATAGTCTAGCTCGATTTCAAACCTGCCTCCATTTCGGTCGATTTGAACAATGCCGACCGATCTACAATAGAATTGGGTGTAGAGAAGGGGAATTGCTGGGAGAGGGTTTTCCGAACTGATTTTTGGGAAATGAGAAGAATTGAGTTGATTGTTGCATGGTGCGAGGAACACTAAGCAAAAAATATTGGAAGACAGACATGATTGCACCCGCACGTCGTACCAAATTTTCAGGGAGGAAATCTCGCGGAAGGACGGAAAGAAAAGAAGCATGCACTGTCAATGTAGTGGCATGATCTGTAAAAAGAGTTCAAAGTCAAGGGCATTTATGATGAAAATATTCGACACGTGTCAGGCATACAATCCCTCATACTTTTACTTATATGTAAGAGAGAGATAAAATAAAAATGTTAATACTAATATTGATGAAAAGACATTATGAAAAAGTCTTGAAATTCGATCCTACTCCTTAGAGCACCCACACTGCTTTGAGTCTCTTAACAAAAAATCATATGTCATGTAAGAAATAGACTTAATTTATAAAAAAGTGTTTCACAATGCAATTAAATGTGGACCTAGTCTAGCTTATGTGACAATGAGAAAAAGAGACCAAGTCCACTCTTGGGTCTATTTTGGACCCAAGTGTGAACCTTACAATAGTAATCATTTACTATTATTATATTTTTTCTGGTTGTTAAGTATTCTGGACCTATTACTTTTTTTTTTTGCATTGGATAGAATTTGGATTTTTTAGCTTGGGTTTGTACATGTCATTATAGACTTAAGTCTATTTATTTGCCACATATGCAAAAAGAGACTCAAAGCATTGTGGATGCTCTTAGGGACTGCTATCAGAAAATGTCAATTTCATTGGACACGCTTTATTACCCCCTCATAATTTCAGTTCTGTGATATACTATACAATTTATTGCATTATGTTTGCAATTTTTATATATATAAATATTTTTTATTATTTAATCCATTCGTGCCTCAGACGTAACAAGTTTAAAGTTTTATTTTAAATATAAATAATAAACATATTTTTTGAAAAATATATATTTTAAAATGCCAATAAATAAATTTTTTCTTATATACCATTTATTTTATAATTTAATTATAATTTTTTTAACTAGAACTCTATAATCATAGAGTGTTGAAGTAAGTATTAATGTATTATAATAACGTAAAGCAAACCGTCAAAATATTGTTTATCTTTTCGAAGAAGAAGAAGAAGAAGAAAGAAGAAGGAAAAAAAAAAAAAAAAGCCGTCAAAATATGATTCTGATTACGGCTTGCAACTGAAACCACGCCCATGGTTAATGGTTCGAACCACGTGTTTTGTAGTTGGGTTAGCAGTGAACACGCCTCTTACAAACACAAAGTTCACATTCACACCAGAATTTTCTTTTTCTTTTTCATTTTTATTTTTCATTTTCTCTTCGAAGATCTCTTTTTATATAAGGAAAAAGGATTGGTTGATTTCGTTCATTTCACGTAAGACATACAGATAATAGCTTGTGTTTGTGGGAAATCACTTTCATCTCTTTAGTCAGATGGCGAAACGTAAAAGTTTGCTGCATTATCCATTTCTAATGAAGGGTTTTTCCTGTTAGCAGTGATCCTTTCCTCCGTTTAGTATTTCTGTGCCCTTTTGCCAAGTCAATCTGGCAAATTTAGGGGGAATTAATTTGAGGCCTCGCTTGTCATTGAAGCAAGCTTTGCCAGAGGATCCTGAAGAAGTGTGCAGGCCTTGGCGCAAGAAGATATTTTTTCTTTCTCCACATTCCATTATAATGAATTTCAAATTCAGCTGGATTTCACTTTTGAAAATCATTTTACTCGTGGGGCTGATTGGGGCTATTGCGACAGCTTGTTTAACTCTCCCGATTGAAAAGGTTGATCTTTGTTTTTTGCCTACTGTGTATAGGGTTTCTGTTATTATATATTTTGTTTTGAAATCTTCTTGTTAATGTGCTTGTGACTTAATAGATGCTTATTAATGTTTCCGTTGCCTGATTGCTGTTGTTTGGAATTGATTTGGCAATTGCCATTGGCATATGTGGTCTTCTATTTGATTTCCGTTTCTTTATGGTGTTCTCCTTATCTTTGTTTGACATTTTGAGACATGGCTAGTGAGTTATTAAGTTAAGAAACCAAAAAGGCATTTTGGTAACCAATTGGGAAAATTGTAGATTCTTTTGCCTCAGTAATTGAAGTGATGCAAATTGCATGATAACTTCAGGTAATTCTCAGTGTCCACTTAGTTGACTTGTTTGGGTTTGTATTTTTATTGAACCATCTTCCAGAATTATGAATATAGCTGCAAGCATTCAGTGATTCGAATGATGGCAGATTATTTGTTTGGTTGATTTCTTTGAATAACACTGTTACACATCGCTCTTTTAATCTTATCTTCTGTGATTTTCAGATATTGAAGGACTTCTTAATATGGATAGAGAAAGATCTTGGTCCCTGGGGTCCTATAGTACTGTAAGTGTAGTTTTTATGTGCTCATGTGCATTAAGTTGTTTTAGATGTGCTTAAAGATGAACGTTTTATCTACCTCTCTTGCTTCTTCATGCCAGTTTCATTTTGCATTAAAATGAGAATAATTAGTGTTAGATTTACCTGAACAAGTAGAATGGCAGAAGTGAAAGAAGTTTAAGATTCATCATCATATTCATTAATTTGACTTATGGTTATCATAATATTTTTTTAGAATGCTGATTTGATTAATACATCACTCGCTTTTTGTAAAGCTAGCCCTATTTTGGTGCAGGATGTAAATGTAAACCTGGCCTTGTATTTTTGTGCTATATGATGACAATATCCATTTTATGTGTACCTTTGGTTTTCTTTATGCTTGAATAGATTTAGGACTAGGAGCATTTATTTATTGGAAGACTTACATGCTTGAAACATATGCCTTAACTACTATTATTTGGGACAAATCTTGTTCTTCAGTTGTAGAAGCTTCAAGCTTGTGGTGTCAGGGAAATTGACATTGGTTTGATGAATGTGTGAATATTCCCTCTCCCTAATATACACCCTGAAAAAGGAAACAGTAAAAAAAAAAATTTAAGGAAAGAGAGAAATCTGCTATTGTTTTAGTCTTGTTCAACTACCATTGTTTAACCATAAGGCTGGAATCAAAGTTTCATCATTAGACTTTATATTGAATGCCAACTGGACATTAAATTTTCTTAATCTTTATATTGAATGCCAACTGGACATTAAATTTTCTTAATCTTAATATGAATATTTGACTAGAGAATTCAATTTAAGAAACAATATTATAATTGGGGGGATGGTTTTCTTATATTTTGATTTCTTTCCTTCAAGCGTATTCATTTGCTACTACTCATGGGTAATAGGTACAAGGCACCACCTCGTAGAGTTTAGCTGCTTTTGTTTTACGTGCAGAAGTTCTTGTTTCATGTGTTACTAAAAGATCTTATATCTGTATTTGTCGATGTATGGCAGATTAAGTTGCTTAATGAATGTTTGAAAACTTTATTTTAATGCCATTATGGGACTCACTCACGGATTGCATCTTGCAGAGCTGTTGCATACATTCCTTTAACAGTGTTGGCAGTTCCAGCATCAATACTAACAGTAAGGATTAATATTGGTTTTTCCTTATTCTCGATTTTGTTTTTCACCCTTCCCCTCTTTTTTTCCCCCTCTAATATAGAGTTTTATTCATAAAACACTTGAGCTATCGTTATCAGGTTTGTTTGAATATTTCATTTATGGTTTTTTTTAACTAATCAAATATATTTTCATTTTTCAAGTATCGAATAGGGTTGGGTTTTCCAGATTCTCTTTATAGTTCTTGAGGTTATGTGAGATACGCTTGGATTCTATACGACATGATACCTACAATGTCATAATAATATGATAAAGTTCAATCTGATAATAAATCATCTTCTCTTTGACTTGCTAATTTATAATCAGCCTGACGTTTAAATTGATTTGATCAATTTTGTAATTTCAAATGATGCATATATGGACTGAAATTTTTTTGTCTTCCATTTTCCTAACTGAACTGAAAGCCTAACTCAGTACTTCTATTATGTTTTTCAGCTGGGTGGCGGCTATCTCTTTGGCTTGCCTGTGGGGCTTGTTGCTGATTCTATTGGTGCAACAATAGGTGCTGGCGCTGCTTTTCTTCTTGGACGAACGGTAATTTAGTCGATTTAATCTAATAGCATTATTTTTCATCTCTCGTCTAACTTTTTCCTCAATTGTTCTATTTTTTGATCAACTTTTCCATTTTTCTTAATTATTAACAGATAGGAAGGTCATATGTTATTTCCAAGTTACGGGACTATCCCAAGTTCCGTGCAGTTGCTATTGCGACTCACAGATCGGGATTCAAGGTTCATGTGTATTCTCAATCTAATAATGGTTCTATTTTGCTTTGAAATATGGTGCGTGCTAATAGTAATATATCTCATGCTTATATGAAATTGTCTTGTGCCACTTTACAGATTGTCTTGTTGCTTAGGCTGGTTCCTTTACTTCCCTTTAACATGTTGAACTATCTCTTGTCTGTCACATCTGTGCCTATAACTCAGTATATGCTGGCTTCATGGTTGGGCATGATGGTATGTAGATTATTTGTCAGTGGATATTTATTTAATTATTCTCTATTTATAGTATAAAATGATGTCATGATTTACATTTTTTTTCTGAGATTTTTCAATGATTCCATGTTTATGTAATCAATGGAACCTTATGTTTGTAATTTTTCTTTTTTCTTTCTTTACACATGCCTTGTAGAAGTGTTTTTCATGTATTTATATCTGCTTATGGTGTGCCCATTGATGTTTGTTTTACAGCCCATTACATTTGCGCTGGTCTATGTTGGAACGACTCTGAAAGATCTATCAGATGTTACACATGGATGGCACGATTTTTCAAAAACCCGCTGGGTAAGAGGTCTTTTGTCGCATTTGTTTGGAGACAATTATTTAGGAGATAAAAATCATAGAGTTTTGGTTCTTTTATCCGGATTTTATTCGTTTTTTGATTCTTTTAATATTTTTCTCTGATTTTGAAACATATCATTCGAAAGAGGAAGGAGAGATAGTGTGTTTCGAGTTGAATGAATTTTCGAAAGGGCTCTGATTCTAAGTGTGACATTATATGCAGCCCTTAATAAATCAGTTGGTGATATTTAAGTAAACCTCATATTTTCTATTTTGCTTTGCTGCAGGCATTTATTGTGTTGGGCCTTGTGGTGTCTGGTAAGTTTCAAATGGCTGCTTAAATCTTGATTGTTGCAAATAAGTAGCTTTTCCAAAGATTTATACTCTTCGAAGAACTGATTTTTACTTTTTTAGTTTTTGGCTGCAGAGAATCGTAAGTCGGCAGTGTTTGCAAATAGAAGTTATGATTAGAATTAGTTGAAACAGTCTTTGCTATTTGCTAATAAATTGTAAAAAGCAGACTAGGAGGACAATCAGAGATCTAAAAGTATATGTCTCCTTTTGTTCTTTTCTATTTTATGTTGACCGACTTCATATTGACTGATTTGCTTTTGCAGTTATGTTACTATTTAGTGTTATGAGAGTTGCAAAGGCTGCTTTAGAGAAGGCATTGGCTGAAAACGAGTGCGTGGATTTGGACGGGAGTATCTTTTCACCACAGCTACCGGTTACGGCTATCCCTGCCGTCAATCTCAACGAGCCACTTATAATTCAGATTGATGCCAATCAAGACAATCACGAAAAATAATTCATTTTTACGTGTAAATTCTCGACTGAGTCCTTTGCTCGTTTTTTTTTAGCAAACTTTCATCTGAGGGGTACTTGACATTTCTTATGTATAGCCAGGATAGTTAATGCAAAAGGTTTCTCTCTTGGTGCAGAGAAGTTTTTTAACTTTTATATGTAATTTGTGGTGATAAGTCCCGAATTGACACAAGTGAATGAGTTTGATAAAAACTTCATAGCTACGAGGGGAAGTTCATAATGAATGGTCCTGCAAAAATTACAATACAAATTTTTGTGTGAGGTGATCTAATCGTTAGGCGGATCGATCCGTCATATTTGTTTGACAAAAATGTATATTTATCCTAGGAAATACCCTACTTTCTTGTTTTTTAGAGTGATATTTTAGTTTGAAAGTATATTTCATCTGTTAAAAAAGAATAACTATCTAAATGTTTGGTCTGTCCAACCGTTCGATTATTAGGAGCCGGTTTATTTATAATACTTGTGTAGCATTTGCTTATCCTTGTGTTGCTAGCTCGACTGCATTTGCTTAAGTGCAAAAAGGTTATTTAGATGTCTCCATCTATTTAATCTAATAAGTTAAATAATTTTTATAGATGTTCTCGTCCACTTAAATTATTCTTTTCTTTTTTTCTTTTATTTATCGTTTGCTAAGCGAAAAATTGTTCGTTTTCTAAGTCCAAGTGCAACCATCTCTGTGAACCTCCTATAGCCGTATTGCCAAGCCTTTAAACTCAAGTATTTTCGGCCCAAGTCCAAGAAAAACCTGAGGCCCGTGGGCTCAAAATTTCGGCCATTAGGAGCCTTGAGCCCGGGGCTTTTTACATACATACTCAACTATGTCTTAAATAATTGCAAAAATACTACATGAAAAAATTATTTGCACATCTACCAAATTTATCATATTTTATTAATTTGCACATCTACCAAATTTATCATATTTTATTAGCAATAAACCTAATTCCGAAATGAGTGTATTAATTTGATTTAAAAGAAATCCTCTCTCCTCTCTTTTCATTACTCTCTTTCCTATCCCACTTAATATCTTATTCATCCGTTTTTTTCTTCTATTCTCCTTAATCTATCATTACATAAAAAGAATAACCTTTTTACAAATTTAGAAACCTTTTCCCGCCAAAATCATTAAATATATTCTACATATAGTAATTGTTGGACATATCTGAATAGACAAAAACATCGACTCATTAATTGTGTAAAGATTTGTTTCTCTTATTCCTGTTTTTTAGTTTATCAAAATCGTTGTTTGACAATAAATATTTGTTTTTCTTTTTCCTATTTTTAGTATAAATCTACACGAGCTTATCTCTTCTGTTACAAAATCCCATTGCTTGACAATAAATATTTATTTTTCTTTTCCTATTTTTAGTATAAATCTACACGAGCTTATCTCTTCTGTTACAAAATCTCATTGCATACGTCTCATGTGTTTAAAAAATCTCATCCATTATCTATACAGATTTGAAAAAATAAAATAAAATAGAAACCAATTCATAATTACTACTAGAAATCCATTATCTTTAAAAAGAAAAAATAAAATAAAATAGAAACCAATTCATAAATTACTACTAGAAATTCATTATCTACTTTAAAAAGCTAATTTTCATCGGTCTAATTACTAATATTTTTACAAATATTATAAGCTAACCATACAAAAAAGTATAATAATAATTTTGAAATGGTGTGTAATCAAATTTTTTTATATTCTCTTATACAAAATAATTTTACATTGTTTGACCCCGAATCTTTAATTTATAATTATTAAGTATTGTTTATCCTTCTCTTTAATTTATAATTTTTTTTCTTCCTTTTTTTAAATATGATCAATAGTAGTTTTCACTTCCGCCATTGAGTGACTCAAACTCGAGGTCTATTTATAATATTGTTAATTTAATATTATTCCCGTGCATCGCACGGGGTACACACTAGTTTTCTCCTTATCTTTTCTCTCTTCTCTTTATTTCATTTCATTTATCTCTCCATATAAATTTATAAACCAATTGTTTTGCTATAAATATATCTCTTGTTTATTTTTTAGTTTATTATAAGTTTATAAACCTATGCAAGAACACATAAATTATGAAAACATCAACCAATCAGTATCAACCAAAAACAAAAAAGTATGTCAATATACCAAATATAAACTATTAACAAACATCAAATAAACATTGAAAAATAAACTAGAAAATCTACTAATATATCGAACATAAAGTACTATGAATAAACATCAAAATAAACTTATAATATACCAAACATAAAGTATATGTATGTCGGCACTACTCACAAACAAACTGTCGTACCACCACTAAGATAGTGTGGATGGAAACATATACTGAAAATATACTGTATAACCACCACTGAGATAGTGTCGATGGAAACATATACTGAAAATATACTGTACATAAACGCAACATATACTGCCGACATCGCAACAAGCCCCGAGCTTTCGTCGCCGTATGGCCTGATGAATTTGCCGGAGTCCTCCATCCGTCCCTATCGGAACTTGCTCTGGAAGGTCGCACACGACGGCCAAGAGAACCGCCTTGGCCATTGCTTAGTACGAAGAAAGCATAAGAAACAATTTTTAATTCTTGAATTTACTTGCTCCATCTACGAAAGAATTTACTTGCTCCATCTGCGGAAAAAAAAAATCCCTTTTATTTCTTAAGAATATTTGGGAGAGATATTGTCGAACCAGCACAACCTAACCTCTAGAAGATGGGGTTGATTAGTTTTTTTTAATGTAAAATAAATATTGTCATTATATGTAGTCACCACGCCGATAAATCTGTGAGAGATTTATGACATAACCTCTAGAAGACTATTGCAAACCATTGAAGATTATTTATCTGCGTGTAGTCATAACCTCTAGAAGATTTATCAACTGCATGTGAAGACCGCGTCGCCGCCGCCAGTCGTCGCCTCCCGAAGCAAATCCCAAGCGGCTTTGTCGTGAATCATTCTATAATTGTTCAGTAATTTTCACCTTGGATTTTTGTTTAGGCCATAGAAATTGAACCTAGGGTTTACTCAGAATGAAGATGAGTTGAAGGAGTGGGGAGTTTGATTGTGGGTGAATAATTAGGCGTGATATTAGGAACCAGTTTGTTTTGCATTTGGTAACTGCTCCTAATTAATTGCAATAGCATAACATATAATGTCTCGTACGTTTGCAATTTAATATAACAATATTGAGTATATTTGCTAAAGTCTTTATTTGAGATGTAGGTTTGCAATAAAATGGCTGTGTGGTTGTATGGGGAGTAATTTCCTCTTGAGCCCGTCCCATTTTGTAGTTAAGGATTTTGGCACCCAAAACATTATTTCAAAATTTAAAATTTAAAATTTTGAGCTCCTTTGGTAAGTCTTTGACTTCCTCAATCATGGAAAATTCGATGCTATCCATGTGGGCACTGTCCCCATGAGGTTTCTTACCATTAATATACACATATACACACACACTCACATGGGTGTGTGTGAAATGCCCACATGAGGTTTCTTACCATTAATATACACATATACACACACACACCCATGTGGGTGTGTGTGTATTTATGTGTATATCAATGGTAAAAAATCCATGGGGACAGTGCCCACATGCGTAGCATCATCAAATTTTCCGAGAATCTGATAGATTTTTGTATTTTGTATTTTTATAATTAAAATATTGATTTGGTGAGTGGTGGTGAGTAACGTAACCATGGTTTATTGGTTTCTAATACTGTGGTTGATTTTGTTTTCTCTTTCCTCCAAAATTTTGCCAAAAGAAAAAAAGAAAACAAAATAAAATCTACACATGTCAGCTGTTAAGGTGGTGAGTGCAGTGCCCTCACCGGCAGCATCGAAGTAGCCAAATTTACCCCAAACCATTAAAAGAATCAGCCATATCCTCTTTAGTAAGGCAAGCTTTGGTTGAGTTGTTAGGCCAAATCTTCCACCTTATTTTCGGCCATATCAAAGTCTCCCATCAAAGAAATTCTCTCACCCGTTCAACCTTTGATCAAGACACCATACCTCAATATAAAACGGAGGGTGTGGTAGTTAGTTTTCAGTTTACATTCTCTCTCAACACACTATATATACACTCAGTCAGTTACTGTTCATCATCTTCAATCTTGTGCTAACTCAGGCATCGAAGGTTTTTTGTCGGAAAACTAGAAGCCATCCAAGGTAGAAGAAAGCCGATCTAGTTACACCTGTTCGAGTGAAGACCAAGTGAAACTCATTTCACTATTATGCTCCATATTCAATTCCTAAGAGAACCCATTTGGCGGTGGGTCTGGACACCATCATGCCAAGCCCATTCTTAAAATAAAAGAAAAGGGGAAAAAAAAACTCTCCAAATTAAACATAAAAAGGCAAGAGCACAATGATGAGGCATGGGCAAAATCATAATGCAAACCCCATCAACAAGTTTTGAGTGCCCACTACACTCATTTCTTTTCCATTCTCACATGAAAAGAAAACAAGTTGCTCAATCTGACACCCCAAAAAAAGAACTGAAAATTTAGGATATCTGTACTGTATAACAAATTAATATAAAGACCTCACTAACATTTATTTTTTCTCACATTTAATGCATTTTAGGCTTTTACAATCTTTATTAACAAAAAAAAAAAAAAAAACCCTTCTTCT